ATAAAGCCAAATTTTATTATGCTAACCAACTTTCAACTTCTGATTAAAAATGTTTAGCATTAAAATTTACATATAGCACTTACTCTTTCACATCAGATATAGATAGAATATTTGAGATATTCCAACCCAAGTATTTGACCGAAAGGGTCCGATTTTTGTTTGACCTTGATTTATTGATGATAAAAAAATTTGGCTAGAATTACTCAAAATTTTACTAATGCAATCACAGCTAGAAATGGAAAATTACTGTTATTTTGCATTATTTGATGAAATTTTGTGTAATCTTCTGAAATTAAAATTTCATGTAATTTTAATGTAGGCAAATTAATAATGCTAGTGTATTGAATCTGTGTCAATTTTTTAATATTGATATACATAATTCTTACATTATTGTCAAATGTATAGTAATTATTATATAATAAAAAAGTTAATTATATTTGTTCATGAACTTATATAAAAGGTAATTTAATATATATCTATAGAAAAGTTAGTTTATAACACAATAAAGAATGGTTTGAACCAAAAATATCAATATATAGAACAAATATATTATGCTTATTAATGAAAATGGTAAAGAATGATATAAATACAAGGCATGTGATAACAATTAGACAAAAAATGTCACTCAATTACAAGAACACTTAGACACATGCCCTTTACGTAAGATAAATGAATCTTCAAATACTAATAAAAAATAAAAACTTATGAATCCAGTTAATTTTACAAAACAAGACTAAATAAATTAGAAATTTTACTTGCATATGTCTTTTATATATCAGGTGTTTCATTTAGCATAATAGAAAATATAAATTTTTAAGCTTTTTTTAAAAAAGCTTGTTCTTTTTTTAATATACCATTGTGTTATGTTTTTTCTGATTCATTTCTAAATAAAGAATATAAAAATCAACAAGAAGTTGTTTAAAACATTCTTGATGAAAAGTCTTATTATTGTTTAGTAAATGATAGTTGGTCAAATATTAATAAGTCACCAGTAATAAATTATATGATAACTACATCTGATCTGATTTTTTATAAATCAGTTTATATTAAAATAATCATTATACTGTAGAGAATATTGTTAGAGGAATTAAAAATGTAATACAAAAAGCTGAAATAGATAAATTCATTAGTGTAATTACAGATAATGCAAATAATATAAAAGTGACAGAATATTTTAAAAAATAAATATCCAAATAAGATGTTTCTTGGATATTGGGTAATAGAATTAACTTTTAGGTTAAGGATATTTTGAAGAATAAATAGGTATTATATATTCTAAAAAAAAACAATAAATTAGTCTTATATTTTCATAATCATCAAATTCCTATAACAATTCTTAATAATTTGCAAAAAGAAATTTATAATACTGAAATTGCACTTATATTACCTGTTAATACTAGATAGACATCAGTTTTTGAATGTCTTAATCATATTCTACAAACTTGAGCTGTGATATATGCCATAGTAACTAAAAACAGTGTTGAAATTAATAAAAATATTAAAACTATTATAATGGATTATATTTTTTGGACCAATCTTAAGAATTTTTATGATTTTTTAAAACTCTTTATTATTTTTATAAAATGATTAGAAGGTAATGAATTATATTTTTCTTTAGCATATAAAACATTACAAGAATTAAAAAATAAGTTTATGTCAAATTTACAAGTTCTGGTAGAATTATATGAAGATATTTTATAAGTTGTAAAAAATCAATAGATAAATTTTTTATATAATCTAACAATTATTGTTATATATATTTTTGATCCCAAATATTATGAAGAAGATCTTGATTTTTACAGTATAGGCAGATAAAATAAATATTAAAGTAATTCAGATTGCAGATATTGGCAATGAAGATAAAGTATTAGAAGAATTAGCAGAATATATTGAAAAATTAGGCAGTTTTGCAAAAAATATTTGTAGAAAAATCTTATCTCAAAACCAATTAATTGGTAAAATTTATTATATATGCAGTATTTGGTTTTGAGCCAAGTTTCATGTAAGATCTTGTCAATGTTTGCAACTTCAGCTGCAAGTGAGTCTAATTGGTCTGTTTATAGATTTATTTATTCTAAATTGCATAATCAAATACTTACTTAAAAGATAGAAAAACTTGGTTATATATATTAGAATACAAGAATTCTTCCTAAATTAAGAAGACCTATATCAGTTAAAAATCTTTAAGAAACAGGTAATGTTAACTTAAATAATCAAGAATAAAGCATTATTCTTGATAACAAAAATGAATAAAAAAATAGTTTTTAAATTTTTTTAATAGAATTCTTTATATGTTTGATGATAATGATATATATGACTTTGATAATTATAATAAAAAATAGAATATATTTTATTGAAAATAAATATAATTGGTAAAAAGAACTTAGCTTAAAAAAAATTTGAATAAATACTTTTTATATTTGTATTGTTATATTAATATAAGTAGTGAGTATTTAATAATACTGATAAAACTTGATAATGTTGGTCACTTTTAAAATATTAATTACATTATAATCATGTGAAAAAATACTATTAGTTGTAAAATTACATTTTAATTTTGTAAATTACAATGTAATTTATATGAAATATAACAAAGTAATCTATGTAATACATCTCTAATAACAATATGGCATTACAGTATTATGGCAAATAATATTTGTCATGACAGATAATATTTGTTGCAGCTGATTATAAAATCAGATTATTGTGAAATTTGAGGTCTTAATTTGAAAATTTAGATCCTACCAAAATCTACCTATACTCTTTTATTTAAAACTCTAATCCTAAATTCTAACTCAACTATAAAAAAAACCCTCATAAAAAAGACCTATAAAAAATTAAAAATTATATACAGAATAGATCCAAATTTTATAATAATCTAATTTCATAAGCTTTGATAATATTTATGGCATTCAGATACTATGTTGTATTTAATTATACCATCTAGTAAAATGCCATAATATCATAATTCAATAATTTTATCACTAACTATAGCTCTAACCTTATATTTATACACAATACATATATAACTACATTAAAAATATTTGTCATATATATAATGTTTATTATTGACAATCAAATTTTACTATTATAGACATATAATTGAGATTTAAAACTAGTTAAAGAGCATCAGTAATTGATCTTTAATCATAATAATGTTAATGAACTACTTACATATATATGGTACTTAATGTTTTTTAATGAAATGTTAAAGAGAAAAAACCAACAATTTAATAATAAATTTATTTAAAATTTAAATTAAAACTTTTATGTTTATTTACATGAATAATATTAATAAATAGATAAGCGATTCTTGAATTCCAAGGCTGAGTATATTTAATTATAAATTCTAAAACCCGTATTCTAGCTTTCCTCTAATAGTAATTGAATACAAACAAATGGTTATCGTTTTGTTTATTACTTTGTACATTTTTTATGTGAGCCACGCACAAATTATTTTCATCAAATGTTTGAATTCTAATTTTCTTTTAAAATTGATGGTTGACCTGGTCATGATCCTGTATTGCATATTGTGCCACACACACGACCCATAAAATCAGTGTGTGAACTTTCCATTTGTTTTAGTCAATTTCAGTTTAACTTGATTTGAATAAACGAGACTTGATATTATGTATATTCGTTTGCTTTACTAATTTTGAGTTCTTTATATCTGGAAGGTTTGTTATAAAAAATCTGTTGTTGTATAATACAAAAAAAAGACTTATCGACTGAATTATTAAGTTCTTGTGTATATCTATTAAGTATCTTTTTTAAGTAAAAAAAGTTAATGAACTCTAATCTTTTTCCAAATGAAATATGTTTATTAATGGTGTAATCAATACTGAACACATACACCTTAACACTACTAATTAATGTAACAGTCCTAGAGTTATACTTGAGTATTTTTTATTTACTTTTTTTGCCATCCTAAAGTTTTTATTGACGATATATATCGCTCCTAATTGCATCTGGAAATTTTGTAATGTAGTGTTTAGTACATCATAGTAATTAAATTCTCTAAAAATATGCTTCAGATTAATTTTGCATAATAATAATGTTTTTATCATTATTTCTTTATAAAATCTAGCGCCAGTCTAGTATCACGTTCCTGGTTTCGCGCAGCTGCGTTTTGCAGCTACTTATTACTAATAAATCTGAACTGATTAATATATCAATATGATAACTCAAAGCTTTAATTTACGATTAACTAGCAAGAAGAATAAACCAATTTAATATTCAAACCTGATCTTATTGCTAAAGAACCTGTGCCTATTAATATTAAATGACAATAAAAAATTTATTTAAATAATAAATAATAAACTAATCCTTAGACGAAAAGATTTTTAGTTGTCATTCACTCTAGGTTGGTACAATAGACGTTGCAAAGTCCGCCAGAGTGAATTCTGAGATTCATTTACATAGTAAATATTGACAGTCCTCTAAAGGTATTAGTGAAATGTTTGAAAAACTAACCTTCAAATTTTTCATCTATAACAATTTTAATAAAAAATCACTATTAAGCTAACAATACATAAAGATTGCGTTCTGAAATTTAACGAAATGATCTATATAAAGTTTGCCGTTCTTTTCAATGTAACGCTCGATCTTTAAAAAGTTCTTTAAAACACATAAATAAATTACCCATGTAATTGATTCAATCAGACGAATTTCTTTCTATGAAATCAAATATAATTAAATTTGAACCTTGACTAGTACTTTATGATTGACTGAAGTAAAACTCAATTAATTTCGATGATCGAAGTTTATTTTATTGAATATAGGAATTCCTTCTCATAAGATAAGAATATGTACAGATATATAAAGTTTTAATTTAATACATTGTAAAGCAATTTTGAAATAACAGGAATTTACACTAAAAACAGGCAATATTAATATTTAAATGATATGGATGAAGAGTCAATAAAAAAAACTAATATGAATGAAAAGTCAATAAAACGATATGGAATTTTAAAACAAGGAATATTTTGAGTTTTACGAGATTATTTTAAATCTTTTATTCTTTCATTATGAGCGACCCAATAATTTTCTTCAGTATTAGGGTCATTAGAATCATCATCGATTATAGCCCATCCAATTACGGGAGAAACGATTGCTTCACTATCAGACATTTCTTGATTTACGCCGATAAATCCAGAAATAAACTTTAAAGAATGACCACAATCAGTAACAAAAGGGACCCCAACAGTGCCGTATGGAAAATCATCTATTCCTAAACCATTTTTACGTATAGCTGTTCCTTCACGATTATATGGAAAGAAACCTAAAATCCATCCTGTAACAGTGGAAAGTGAATCACCACCTGAACCATAGCTTACATTTACATTCATAATCTTGCTCCAAAAATCTTCGTCAATTTCACCGCGGTAGGTGGCTACTAAATTCTGAATCACAGGATCAAGACGATCCAGCCAAAATTCTAATTCTAAATTTAATTTTCTTAACCGTGTAACTTTCTCTTGAATCTTTATCCAATCTTCGAGAGTGCCTTCAAGAGTAACTTTTGGAATTCCACACACCAACATAGCAATATACTTAAAGTAAGCTTTAACTGTATCCAATAATACAATTCGACTTGCTGTCAAGGAATTTGTCGTTGTAGTTGAAAAATCACATACTAATAATTCCGCTAGGTCGATTTTTTCTACGCATTCATCAACTTTTGCTACAAATCTATTTAACATTTCTGGCCAATTACCTTCAAGAGTATTATGAGAAGTTTCGTATAAAATATCTGCGCCCGGTACTATAATATCTTTTTTTCCTTCATGACTAACAAATCTTGAACGAAATTTTTCGGCATTGTAATTAATATGACGACTGACACCTTGAGCAATTGTAAGCCAAACATCATCAGGACTCAAGCGCAAATGTTGATGATTATTATAAGCATGAAAGATTGCAGCCACAAAACCATCATAAAAGGTAGAATCTTTGAGAACAGTTGTTTTAGAGTTATCAAAATCAACAGAAACAGCATGTATTCTTTGATTTTTAAATCGTTGAGCAAGTATTTCTTTAACTGGAATATGAGGTTTTAACTCATTATTGAGTTTAATGTTTTGGGCTAAGATTTGAGTGCTACGAGAAGTATTTGTTGGTTGCATTATTCAAATAATTTTAAAACTACTAATCGTAAAGTGATTTTCTGTGGATAACTGTGAATTTATTATATGAAATGAAATATTTGTTTAAATTTAATTTTTATAGGAGGGTCGAAAAATGTCGTAACAAGTTATTACTAAACTTTTTCTTTTACGTCACATTTTAATTAATAATGGTAGTATTACGCCGATACGTCATAATTTTTTAATGAATTGTAATTAATTTCTTATATGTTTATTACCCATTACTACAATTTGCAAAGTCAAAGCCATGACTACATTTTCTTACCTTTTTTGTGATCAGTACTAAGGGTAGATCTTTTTAGTTCTATTCTACCTTTTGATCACTCTTTGTACTGTAATATATTAATCAACGCTATAAAGTCGTTTGCACCACAATCTCTTTGCTTGTACTAATTATTTTAATGCGTTCGAACTGAGCTAACTTGGTTGCGCTATATATTTTAGTCTTTCAAATTCGTAGCAATGTATGCACTAGAGATGCAGGCGATGATGTCCCAATGATGTTATGGCTTAAGCCGTAACTAGCTTATTTGAACGATTCGCCTGCATAATGTCTGAGAAGTTTGACAGTTTCAATTCCTTTTTAAAAGGAACTAGTATCATATTAGAAGAATTAGAAGTCAAATAATTCCTAAATTGTTAATTTTAAAGTAACGTACGTACATACGTACTTGTATACTTTTATTAAAGTCAATAATTTTTAATTTATTGCATACATTACCTCTCACACCGTACGTACATTTATGTATCCTTGGCACATGCATGCACCATGTCTATAGGAAGAAATTCGTTTGATTGGCTAGTATAAATAAATTGCCCGGGTAACTTATTTATACGTTTTAAAGTACTTTTTAAGAACGTGACCTTTCACCAATAAAAATTTACCATAAACATCTTAGACCATTTTCATTTACAATGCAAAATAATCCCAAAATAGAATATACACTATTTATTGGTCCATATTAAATTATACTGAGAATAAAAGTACATGGGAATGTTTTCAAAGACTAAATAACTATAAATATTTCTGTATTTATGTGAATAATAATAGCAGTCATGGGAAGACATTTCTGATGATCTGCCCGTGATTTTCCGTGATAATAAACCAATCAAATTGATCAAAAATTTTGGCGGGTATTATTAATGAAATTTTACTTAGAGCTACCTTTTAACTTTATTACTTTAACAGAACATACTAATTAGTTAGCATCGCACATACTCATCTGCTAAGCCCGGAATCATAAATACTATTAAGGTTGGCGAAAAGGGCATTTTAGGACTTTAGGATTTATTGGACAACTACTCCGCTTAATATTAATCACGTTCGAAAATCAAAAAATTGAATTTTGTTTAATACTGTATTTATTCCTAAATTTTAGAAATTTGGTGCATTCTAAAGTAAGCTTAAATTTTTCAGAACGTCCGAAAACCAACTTTAATAATAAGCAAATTGAGAGGCGAATCACGAATTGAGTTATAAAAGTGCCCATTAAAGGAGGCTTTGGTACAATTTTTAAGGCGTATGGATTGATGGATATTTATGCAAATAGACATTTGTTAAAAGGTCTTGATAATTCTAAAGTTATAGTATGAAAGTTTTTAGGAGAGGTAAACATTATAATTTGTAATACGCTTAATTACAGGAGGTTTTTTTAAAAAAAAATTTGTAATTTGTTATTAGTAATCTTTCGATCATTTAATAAACAATAAGTAGCTGCGCGACGTTGTCACGCAAAACCAGGAACGGAAGGTGGATTTTCAGATCGAGTTTTAGATGAAACTGCTTTCGGCATAAGTTTTTTGTTTGCTTAACTTTTATAAGTTTTATTTGCAAGTTAGATTAGATTATATGTGCAGTAGTTCGAATACTATGTTATTTAGGTGGACTTTATATGCAGTTCAGATAGATTAGTATTAGTATGGTATAGATGTAGCATCCTTGCA